TCGACCGTGAATTGCAACTTGGTCGGTTGTGCTCGTTACACTCGCCACGTTCTCTCTATATCTTTCTCTTCTCCCGCCTGTCCTACGCAAGATACACACGACACGGTATATATACGTGTACACGTTATCGCCTGTTAGAGAGCGGTAAATTTCTTATGGGGGTATTATGCGGCGCATACCAACCGAGATTCATACAGGAGGACATCCTCGGCCTTAGCTGGCTCGCGAACTGGTTCTGTACACTTATACCTAGGACTGTGGGGACATCCGCGCGCTTCCTCCCTCCTGTTGTTCCTCGAGGCTGGTTTTCGTGGACGTCCCGATGGGCGGGACATCCGGGTCGACTTTCAACGCTGTTTACCCTCTTTGCCCGCCATTTTAATATCCCTGCGATCGTTTGAGTACTCGGGAGTATCTTTAGATTTTTTGGAAGATTAGAGAAGTGGATCTTGCATTCGTGACTTAACAGAGTCGTCGATGAAATCGAAGAACGGGTAGTTAAAGGATGAGTTATAGGGTGTAAAACTGTGGATGGATGTATGGGTAGATGATCGGTGATGAAGGTTGATCTTTATGTTTCGCCTTCACAAATTTTGGCCAACAGAGTTTTACTAAGTCTAAGTTCCGTATATTTGTGAAAAGAGAAACGAATATCGTTAGATAGCAACGAGGTATACGAAATTGAGCCGGTGTGCAACCCCGTTTGTTGAAACGACTGCTTTTCGAAGCGCAGAAACGAATCGCCCCAACCGGCAAAACGTCATCGACAGCCCGTGGAAGGAAAGTTCCACAGTTCGTTGGTAGACGCACACACACCCGGTATATATGGCCATCCTGTGCGTGCCGTAAGGGGTAGTCAGGTTGTGAATCGGGGCACGGTAGAGGAACCGAGACAGACACCCCGAAACCTTCATTACCTTCGGCTTCAAAGGAGCCCATTGTGCCGTAAATGGGGTTCGCTCCTCTTTCCTCCTCCTTTTTACTTTTTTTCCTCTTTTTTTATTTCTTACTTTTTCCTTTTCTTTTCTTTTTTTTTTTTTTTTTACTCCTTTCTTCCCTTCCCCTCCCTCTTCTTTTCCCTCGCTCTGTTCCTGCGTACCCCGGATCCGTTCCATTCTTCGGCCCGTTTGCCTTTCCGAGACACCGTCAACAGAGGAGGAGGAGGAGGAAGAGGAGGAGGAGGAGGAGGAGGAGAGACACTTGCCCGCTCGTCCCTTCGTTTACGTAAATTCTCGAGTAATTTCGGGGGCCGAGTGAAAAGAGGGAAGGGGTTGGAGGGGGGCAGGGAGGGGACGGTCGCGATGGTATAATGTCGCCTCGTGCGGAACCTCCCCTCGCGCGATCGAGAGGGAGGAGAAAGGGGACGGAGAAAGGAAGAGGGGACAACGGGCCGTTTAAGAAGTCTTTGAATCGAGAACTCGTTTCGAGCCCAGGGGCCCGCGGCTCTCTGCCCCTCGAACGACACGCTTCTTCCCCCTCGTCGTTGTCGTCGTTGTCCCTCTTACCTATACCTATCCACGGTCACCGCGGACCGGTCCAACTCTCTCGAACATCACGTGAATCGAAGAAAGAAAATTTCGTCGAGCGAGTATTAAAAATCGAATCGTTTACATATTTCATTCTTGAATAATCAAAATAAGAATCATCGCCAATATCGAAACGCGAAAATTTTCAGTGATATTCAAAGGATGGAGACACCTTGCACTTACGATCGATAAACCATCTGGCTTCGCGAAAAATCCTGGGAACAATTTCGACGACTTACGAAGCGACACCTCGTCCGCGCGGAGCTTGTTAAATCGGCCATAAAATGGGAAATAATCTCGAGTTACAGGCAACGTTGTATCGTGAACGCGACTCGTTCCTACGTGGCGCTTGCACCGGCCGAGGGGGGAGGGCCACTACTCTTCCGGTAATGGCCACCTCCGCTGGTGTCGCGTGTACTTCGCGGGAGGAACACGAGAAGCGGTCCGCGGAGGACGCGATGAAAGCGATACTCTTCGCGAGCAAAATCCTCCTCTCCTCGTCCTCCTCCTTCTCCTCCTCTTCCTCCTTTGCCTCGCGGCTTTTATTTCGGAGGAGCCGGAGAAGAGAGAAAATTTACGGCCGCGGTTCATCGCGGAAATTAAATACCGCCGGATAATTCCGTGGACGGAATTGTGGAGGAGGAAAGGAAGAAGGGGGAGGAAGGGAGAGGGAGCTTTCTCCACCACGGTTCGAGAACGGGGAAGGGTAGAGAGGAACGAAACTGTCGAGGAGGAAACGGTGATCCTTTGAGACACTCGATATTTTCCTGGCCCTTTCTCCTCCGCCGCGAACCTCCTTTCTCGTATCAGAAAATCCGAGAACCTCTCTCTCTCTCTTTCTCTTGCTCGCTCGTTCTCTCTTCGTCCAGGTTCGACGAATTAGATGCCAAAGAAGTGCTTGGCTGCCTAGCGCGTATCCTTCGATCTATGGGAAAAAGAGAGAGATATATAGTGTCAACCGTGCGAAAGGATACGCTGTAACGGTGGAAGAACGATTTCTAGAGTTTGAAAAAAAAGAAAGGCATTGTCGTTTTTGGAATTTTGAGTCGAGCTTGAGAAACATATTCCTCAGTGGTCAGCTTGTTTTTTTGATTACGAGTTACATATGTGTTAGGATCGCGAGTATCGCGTGTCTTCTAGACACGATGTTCGAGGAACGTTGACAAAGAAGAGACGGTCGGGACCTTTTTCTCGCCGCAAGAAGAAGTTGGAGCAGAAAATGGACACGCCGTTTCTAGTAGAAGTCGAGTGCGTGTTGTCGAGGGCCCGAGTTTGGATCCTGTGTCAGAGCCCGGTTAGGATGATCGGTCTGCGGTGTAGGGTGACGCGATTCAAAGGGCCGATAGATGGCAAAAACTTGCGTCCGCGGTGCATCGTATCGTGTTCTAGATCATGAGCTTCGAATACTGGAGAGGTTTTGGTTGAACCAGTGATATATATAACCACCTCGCTCACGTGAACCGATATGACCTATCCACCGCCAATCTTTCGCTTGGAAGTCAAGAAAAAAAAAAATATGTCGTCTAATACGAGTATCTGAAAAGCAAAAGTTAATGATCGTGTGTCTAGCGTTGCCAGCCATCTTATTACTATTCGATTTTTCTTATTAAAATCTCGATACGATGTTTTCAGATTGGACGTTATATCCGTTAATTTCACTTCTGAAATTTTCATTTAAATTCCCGTACGAACCACGGCAGTCTCTCTGCCTGTTTAAAAAAAAAGAAATAAAGAGATCCGAGTTCCGCGGTCATGCCAAGTTGGAAAAAACGATTTTTGCCGGTGATTGGGGTGTGTTCCGAGTGCGTGTACGAGCGGTAAAAAATGGCTCGATAACCGTGTTCCCGTGCGCGCACGTACACAAAGACGGGTGTAGGTGAACGCTTCTCAGCGTCGTGGCCGGGCCTTCTTTCGGCGATTCGCAGGAGAAAGGGAGACGAAAAGGTGGAGAGAGAGAAAGAGAGAGAGAGAGAGAATGGGACGAGGAGGCCCCCTCCCCCTCCTCCCTCTCTCCGTTTCTTTTCTTCGGTGAGCATTGTCGGCCGGTTCGACTCGACTCCCGGCGGATCAAATTCTAACCAGTCCGGCATTATAGCTGCTGTCCTTCGAGCTCTCTCCACCGCCCTCTCCCGCCGCCCTTTTGGTCCCGCGTTAAAGAGAGTCTAGTCATCTCGAGGAGGCATTGTGTTACCGTGGCATGGCACTTGGAAGAAAATTCTGGAGAATCTCTCCCAGTAGTACTCGCGCGTACTAACAATCCTTTGTCGGTTTCGAGGAATCTATCTAGGAAGAAAAATATAAAAAATATATGTAATAGAAAAAAGAGAGAAAAAGAAAGAAAGAAAAAAAGGAGAGCAACGAAGGAGTTTAAACGTGGCAACATACGATATGGCACCGTGTTTCAAGAGAGAGCGAGCGTTGTGTCCCTGGATCGGTTTCGCGTCCGATCAAGCGTCCTCTCGCATACGCTTAACGCATGATAAACGCGTGCATTGTCTACGGTGGTGTCGGCCACGGCCTTCCACCATTGGACGGTGCCGCCTACGGCAAAGATGGCCGTCTTCTCTATTACATATAAATGCCTAATAAGAAGAACCGTCGTATAAGTATCTACTACTTATAGGTGGATAGGTTGCCGAGAGGCAGCCAACTCCAGCCAGCCTCCTGTGGAAGCTCGAAAGCAAGAAGGGAAGAGAGGAGGAGGAGAGGCTAGGAAGAAAGCGCGTGTACGCGCTTGCAACGAGCGAAGACACGCCGCGCCGCCTCGTAATGCGCCTTCCTTCTCCTCTCTCTCTCTCTCTCTCTTTCCCTCGTCCCCTCTTACCCATCGATTTACATATAACAAGATAAGCGTTTTTATTTGCTTTTGCTTATATAATACATTTTTTCTAAACCGAATCGAGCGACCAGGCCGAGGCGAACCTCGGTCCAGGGGCCGGCCAGGGGGCAAGGTAAGAGGGATCGGGAGGAGGATGAACCGTGAGGAGGACGCTCGAGGACCGGGTATCCTATAGGCCTGTCAGACCTCATTTGCATACATAACATTCTGGTCGACTGGACACCGGTCAGACCTCCTCGCTCCGTCTCGCTCCGACTCGGTGCAGAAGATACAGGGTGTCTTCGTCCCTCGCTGCTGGACCGCTTCCACGGCCTCGAGATGCAACCAGCTCTCCTCGCCGGCTTCCTCCATCTTTGTGTATCGATACCAGCGTTCGTATCGGCCTCGCCATCCTCGCCGCGCGGCTCTTTTGGTACCCGTGGCTTCGAAGTGAAAATACCGGGTGAAACGTTTCACCCGTGCACGAACGAACGATTTCCAATCCAATTTTCTCGATTAATCCGAAATATCGTGTATGTTAGAGCATGATAAAGTCTCATAGTAGGTTTCGAGTAGGTTAGAGATATATCGAAACCCTAATTCGTACAATAATGGAATTACAAGTTTTCTCACTCGAACAATTTCTGTTTCCACAGGTGCACGAATTGTGCGACAACTTCTGCCACCGGTACATCAGCTGCTTGAAAGGGAAAATGCCTATAGACCTAGTGATCGACGACAGAGAGAGCTCGAAACCGCCCGAGATGGGGAACGGTTTGGACGGTGGCGGGCCGAGGAGCACCGCGGACAGCACCAGCCACACGGA